CCTCGACGGGCAATGTTAGCTGACATAGGATGGATCAGGTTGGAAAAGAGCCAGTGGTGGTCAAACAAAAACATGGCACCAGTCAATAAAACCTTCCTGGTCGGGGTCCCCGGGACGGTAAAAACCAATGGTTGGAAACAATTGGTGATATGGCTCAAAATCGATCTCAATCCATAGCGCAGATGCATCCACTGCTTGTGATTTATGATTTTCTATCGAACTAAATTGTTCTTCGTTATTAATATTCCTTTGTCTCACACCTGTGTTTACTATCTCTATTTTGCATTTCTTTTACTTTCTTCTGTTGGTTTGTGTGCTATAAGGAGTGGAGTGTGGCGACTTGAACTGGTGCACATCGGTGCAAAGTTCTATATCGGAAACAGACAGACAGGTGGCAGCACTACTTGACGCTGGGGGGGGGCGGGTTCACACCGCAGAGGGAACAAGAGCAGAGCACTTTCGAGATCGCAGATAACGCCTCCCTGGCTACGAGTGCCAACAAGCACGAAACCTAGCTCCAGAGTTTCCTACTGATTCCTTCCAACCATCTAATTAATATAAAAACGCTTTAAAGAAATCTATCAAGAAAGCAAAAATATTAAATAGATCACCATGATTTTTGTTAATTAGTAGTAATGAAAGATATTAAGAATGTGAACAACATCACAACAGATTGTTTGGTCAAATAAAGTAACAGGCTAATTGTGTACATCTCTCGTATATACAAAATCAATATGACCTTGAGGGTGAGAACAAGATTCCTTTACATTTTTTTTTCAGCATTCAAACTAACTAGAGTTCACATAACAAACAAACAAAAATAAGTCTGTAATGATTAAATTTTGTGACTTTGTCTAAAAGTACTTTTTTACTCTCAGTGTAGAATGCCATCTATTTACAAAAAAGAAATTCAGAAGAAATGAATGAAACAAATAATAAATGGAGAGTAGTGAAGGTGTGAAGTATAAATTTCTTATATATAACAGTGTCAGTGTAACTGATAACAAGCGAAGATTTTCGCTTACTAAGCGTAACACTCTCAAGTATCAAGAAGGAAATTCAACACCAATGTCAAGTCAGTCAGTTTTTCTATATGCGTCGGAAACTTGGCTTGCATGTCATGGAAAGCATATCCAACAGCATACCTGCAGACTTTCATCAATAGCTACCTTTGCTCCATACTGAAAATCAGATGACCGGTCAAAAGTGATAAGCAACAAGAACTGATAGCTCAACAAATACCTCAAAGAAAATAGAGACAGATCAGACATAAGCTGAGGAGATCGTCAAATAACGTTGTGCGTCAGACCAGCCACACTGCGTAACTCGAAGTGGAAACGACGGGCTGCGAGGGGGGGGGCGTTGGTCCCACAGTGAGAAGGAGGAGATCGTGTGGGTGGGAGGAGATGACAGAATATGGACAGTCAATTGTGTGGCCAGCTAAAGAGGACCACAGTGAACAGAACAAAATGGAGAAGTGCTGTTGAAGCCCTTATTCCACTCGAAACCCAAGCGAACAATAATAATAATAAGCGGAACACTTGCTGGCATTCTGTACATTAGGAACACTGAGTAACTAATAATATCCATTCCGAGCGCATTGAGTGGAACATAGCCCTTCGGTGACATCCCTCCGGTGCACTCACTTCTCTGCCATCATCATTTTCAGCTGGATCCACAACTGCCAACATGCTATCATTTTCTCCTACACATCATCTCTATATCACCATCGGACTAGCACCCAATTCGTCTGAGTGGTGCCTGATCGATTTCACCCAACGATCTTCCCATCGTATGCACAATTCATCTTCATTCACATCGTAACGGAATAATTTTGTGGAAAATACCTCCTAAACGGTCTAATTACAATATTTATATTCAAGTGTTGGCTTGTAGGGATTTGATTGGTCACAAGATTTCATCATGAGCTGACATTAGTTAGAAAACCATTGGAAAACCTGGGAGCCATTGGATCAGGTCCCAGAGGCTTAATGGTATACGAGCTCGCCTTGCAACCAGAAAGTCCTGGGTTCGAACCTCCTGTTGTGAGTCCGTACTGCTGAAGGGCCCCAAACTAGGACGAAACAGCTGGTTGTTCAATACTCCCAGGTTTCCTCTAACTAATGCCACCTCAATATGAAATCCTATAATATTTATACTTATTGGGATGTTTCAACCAATTTTGTAATTAGTACCCCCCTTCTTCTCCTAGACTGTATAGCATTATTCTAACACACTTGCATATCATATGCTCACTTGATCCTTATTATTTACATTTTTCCCTGTATAATCTCTAATTTTAATGCTTCTCATAGTGGTTGTGTGTGACACATTGATAATGTGTTGCTTTACGATGTGATTTGGTTTGAATGAGAGTCACAGTCATTCTGACTTTGGAGTGTCTGAGGGGATTGTTGGTGTGTGACTCTCTTGTGGACAGAGTTTTCGATTCCACCTTGTTGGAAATCATCTACTTGATTCTAAGGTAATTCTTAAAACAGAATTTTGGCTAATTAATTTTGTTCTACTATATACTAATTCTAAAAACGCGCCAAGATTCTAACCAACACAGAAGAATTGGGTGATTTGTCACTGCTGTTGAAAATGCAAATTTTGTTCTTTATGTCAAGTGCAGATTTCTTAAATGATTTTAGAGCGTTGAAGGTATACACCTAGCCTTTTCGAACGTGGTTGGTTTTGACACATTCATCCGTTCCGCCTATAGTTGAAACAAGACTTCCTGAATAAGCCCAGATACATACGAAAGTACAATCTCCCGCCAAATCCCGAACCCTGTTATAATTCTGTCTCCAACACCTGCAGTAACGAACACTCCGCTTTTCTACCCTTAACAGCGAAGTTGTAGTATGCCATAGGGTGATGAGTAGAATCCTCGCCAACCATGCACACGTGGTCTGTAGTTCGATGCCCAGCCGGAGCAAATTTTTACCTCCTTCAACTGGATATTAGCCCTGCAAAAACAAAAGGTTTAACATGAGGCTAGCAACTTACTTTACTTTGCTTCGGCTATCTCCTACGGGAGGATGAACCGGCTTCATGAACGTCTCGAATGTTTGTAAGAGAGTTGATGAAGTTTCATGGGAATTTACATACGAGTAATGTCCCCAGAATCGCTCGGCCTTTTGTTTGAGAGTGCAGCTCTAGCCTTTACACAACCAAGTGTGACCTACAAGGCAGTAGGAGTGGAGTAGGGAGTCCACCATCCATTGTCAGCCGGTGACCGGAGTCCGGTTCATTCGCCTTTTTGAATGGGGCCAGACATCCACGGCATCCAATAAACCCTTTCTCCATACGTCTGCCGGTGAGCTCCGGTGAGCTTCATACGCCAGTCGTTGGAGATTTGGAATCAGGGTTTAGCCATCTCCCCTAGACTGTCATCCAATGGACAGTCAACCCGGTGAAGAGCGCCGGGCATCCGCTTTTACCCTCTCACTTTGGTGAAAAACACCTCCGCCACGTGAAGGCAGTGAGTAGGACTTCCTCAGGAGAGGCTATGTAAGACGCCTGGTCATATGGGAGCATTTCAAGAGGTGTACGGAGGGGTGGCCAACCCGCAGCGCAAGACACCCACCCCCGACCATCCTGAGGCTTTGGAAGGAAAACAATCATGCTTAACAAGTCCGAACAGTATTCGTTAACTATCATCAGGAAGGGAAGAAAGAAGGAAATTGCAACACGTTCGCCATTGATTACGATTCCTGGCCATATCCAATAACATTTCGAGCCATCGATTCGAGCTATCTCGCGGACCCCAACCAGAGAGTCGTGACTCACCAACCGATGCTAATCTAGCACAAACATCCTTCATCACACGACGCCACGTCATGGACTGACCGACCCTCCGCCTTTTCCATCCCGTCCCAGGGCTAGCGAACAGAGACCTGTACGGAAGTCTCTGGGATGACATTCGCAGCACATGTCTAGGCCACGGGAGCCGGTGTTTCCAGATGACAACACTCAAAGGATGGTGATCTCCACTGTGTTCAAACACACGCCGCCGAACCTCAGAATCATTCACGCATTGATGCCACCGAACGCAAGCAAGCATACGAAGACAGCAATGATCGAACACACAGAGTCGCCCCACATCCTCAACCTAATCGGAGAGGCCAGGTTTCACAGGTGTAGAGCAAGACAACCGAAGCATTGTGTACCCGACCTTTGACAGCCAGGCTAACGTCGCGACGGCGCCAGAGGTGGCTGAATTTGATGTATGCCACCCTAGCCTTCATTATACGGTTGAAGATGTCATCCGTCACCCCTCCGCCAGCACTCACACAACTAACCAGATACACAAACTTATCAACAACTTCAAGCGGTTCACCCGCAAGAGTGAGTGCAGGTACAGGCTCCTGCTAATCTTGTAACAGTACTTTGCACTTAGACGGCGCAAAGTACATACTATACTTACAGACACTGTCGGTATGAACTAGCCACATAAGGGACTGTAGACTGACTAAATGAGATCTTCAAGGTGCCAAAAGACAATGGCTTAAAACCATTCTCAACGGTCCAGATGCATTCACTGTTCGTTAATCGTCCAAATTCATTAGCTTCTCATGTTCTCCATGCTACTATCCTTTATTCTGGATATTTCTGCTCATTGTAGTTCTTCTTGAATGTCCATTTTCTCTCCCTTCTGTATCCTTTTTTGCCACATGCATTCACTGTAGCAAGTTGAAGTGTTGCATTTAGGTGCAAAGTTTTATGTCATAACTCAATCAGACTGATGTAATTAATATTATAATGTTTTAAGAAAAACACCTTGAAAAGAAACTACACCCTCGAAGTTGTATTTATCTTCCCCATGTTAAAAATGATCCACTGTGTGCAAAACATAGAAGTCATGTCTAAAACACGAATTTTAAAAAAAGGCGTGGATAACACAGTAATTTCCAAAATGGCAACCATAAACAAAATTTAAGAAATCAAAAAAAACTGAACGCTTTTCCCAAAGGAGTAAAGAAAAACAGACTTACGCATAAAAGTTTCCATACTGTTGGTCTTAATTCCTCTGGAACTCCTGACCATGAAAGTTGACGTAATACGGCTATGCAAAGAGAACCAAAAAAAATTTTATAATTAAAGCTCTATTACAAAATATACTACTTATGAATTATTAAGTAATTTCCAAATTCCCATTTAGGCATTTCGAGAAGAAAAAAAAGAAAACAGATTAGGCGAAGAAATAAATTCATTTTCAATGAGTTCTTCATCTGACAAGAAGAAGAGCTTTCAAAAGTACTTTCAATACAGACAAGCCATGCTGTTGATATATTTCCTAACCAACCAATATGTAGTTGAAGAAATGAGGACGAATTGTCCTGTCTAGCCTCTTTCCATGCGTATTTACCAGTTGAACTGCACGTGGTGAGCTAGTTACACTGAGCCTACAATCAGGCAAGTGCATTGTCGAATTTATTAACGCCTCCCATCGTGGCCTGACAAAGGTGTGAATGAAGTAATACGCAGCTCAACACTAGGTCATCGCGTCGATACTGGACATCAAGTCAAAGTTATTTGTCATATTTCACCCCCAACCTCTCGCATGGTCTACAAGTACGACCTTTACATGCAGCAGAGGCAATCGGAATCCATCTGAATGCCCCTTTCTTTACCATAACCAACTACATAATATGTACCAAGTTTTTAATGACGATTTTTTTCCTCCCATTGTAACTATCTTTTGATTTTTTTTTGTCTATTTTTACAAGTCTAGCCAATTCTGTCAACCCGTTCGTGTTTTACGTAATTCTTCTGAGTCATCCTATTCATCTAAGTGATTATTATTTTACAAATTTCTTGATTATGTAAGAACGCCTAAGAATTAACTTATCTTGAAATCTGTAATTAATCTTCACCCCCACCCGTGAAAACTTAGATATCTTGTGTTACTAACGTCTACCAGTTAATTGTTTTGATGACTTCTAACCTCTGAATTCCACCCTCTCCTCCCCCTATACCTAAAACAAATTAACTAAAATAACCACTTACTTGACTAGTAAAAGAAATATTAAGTAGACAGATTCTAAACACAAACATTTCTCTGCAATGGGTGACGACTGACGGGTGAAATGAAAAGTTGGATGAAGGCGAGTTTTGAATTAGTATTGTCCAGATTATCAACTTGACTGGCTCAAGTATTACTCCCCCCTCCCCTCCATTGTCTTTGGCACCTTCAATGACCCAATATAAGACTGCATTGAAATACACTGCACTTGTAACATCCTAAGCAATGTGACATACTACTAGGGTGACGCTTACAGGCACTGGTTAACAACACGAAACTACATAGCCAACGCAAAGTTTCAACCAGTAAACTGCAGGTGAGAATTCCACTAAGGGAACCAATGAGCTGAGTTCTTGACATCAGTTAAAAACCAATTTTGAACTAAAAGAAATTACTGTACAAAGTAAAAAAAACCGAACAACTCTAGGCAAGAAAGAAATGCGTATGAACCGGACTCCGGTCACCGGCTGCCGATGGATAGTGGACAACCTACTCCACTCCTACTGCCTTGTAGGCCACACTTGGTTGTGTAAAGGCTAGAGCTGCACTCTCAAACAAAAGGCCGAGCGATATATATTAAAACAATTAGTCCCTTTGATAAATTTGAACAAGGCATTAAGAAGACAAATTTCGCGAGATGATATCATTTCGTAGTTTCTTTACAACCGCTTTACAACTAACATGGTTAACAATGATAAAATAAAGTTCATGAAATTTACTCAGTTAAATAAAAACAAAAGTACATACTAATGACCAATCATATTAAGATAGGTCATGCAGTCCAGGGTAGGCGAAGATTGAAGTCTATTGATTTTTGTACACACAGTTTAGGCTGTATGTGATTAATCCAAAGTGCTTCCATCACCTTCAATAACCTTGAATTAGAGTTATGTGAAATAATTGTGAAACAGTCATTAATATTGATTGATTTTGTGACCAGACATTAATAAGTGTTTTGCAATGGATGATGCTGGATTTCTATTAAGATTAATCGCGTTGGGATTTTCGATATGGTTTTCTAGCCATTTTGGAATATGTTCTTTTCGACGACATTGGAGCTTCGACATGTACATTCAGTTTTATTAGCTAATGGTTATCCGGAGAGCTTTATCACTTGTCACAGCAAAGAAAAACCACATCTCGAAAAGACAGCTTCTGTACCAAAGAAAGCCATCTTTATTAATCTACCATTCAAGGGCGACCAGATTATGCAGTTGACAACTCAAAGACTTCGATCAGCCATCAGACGCACATTCTACGCCGCATCTCTTTTTCTCACTTGCCGAACATTTTCGATCCCTGTTCCTACAATTAAAGGACGAAATTCTGTGGACTCTACTTCAAACTGTATCTACAAGTTCACCTGCAGCTGCGGTGACACCTATATAGGTAGAACTAACAGAATGTTCCAATGTCGTCGAAAAGAACATATTCCAAAATGGCTAGAAAACCATATCGAAAATCCCAACGCGATTAATCTTAATAGAAATCCAGCATCATCCATTGCAAAACACTTATTAATGTCTGGTCACAAAATCAATCAATATTAATGACTGTTTCACAATTATTTCACATAACTCTAATTCAAGGTTATTGAAGGTGATGGAAGCACTTTGGATTAATCACATACAGCCTAAACTGTGTGTACAAAAATCAATAGACTTCAATCTTCGCCTACCCTGGACTGCATGACCTATCTTAATATGATTGGTCATTAGCATGTACTTTTGTTTTTATTTAACTGAGTAAATTTCATGAACTTTATTTTATCATTGTTAACCATGTTAGTTGTAAAGCGGTTGTAAAGAAACTACGAAATGATATCATCTCGCGAAATTTGTCTTCTTAATGCCTTGTTCAAATATATATATATATATATGGTGGTCTCTCTTTCTGTTTGCTCGCTTAGTCTGTGACCATTTCACTTTGATGAACCTGTCTCCTTTATCAATGTATATTCCCCTTATAATATATATAATATGAGTGTTTGTTGACGGTCCGTTGCTTGGTGACATATATCAATATTATATGTGTGGCTGTTGACATGTCTGCTATATTTCGCTATGTATATATGGACCGATACTGCATTATAATTAGCCATTCATGTTAAGACTGTCTATTGATTTGTTCTCACACTTGTCTGGACATTCATATATATTTCGCTCTCACAATCTTGTGTGACACTTTCTTTTGGTGTGATACCACTTATTGCTTCTCCTGGTGTTTTGGAAAATAGAAGTATCATCGCAAACCTAGTGGTCTTCTGATTTCCGTCTTTCTTGCGTCAGGACTATTAAATTCGCGACCAGTACATAGCAATAATTTGGCGACGAGTACATAACACCTAATTCCCATGATACTTCATGAACTCTCGTTGCTACAACATCAACCAAATTCCAGTACTGGTCCAACAACGTCGCCTTCGGTGGTTTGGCCATGTTCTGCGCCGACCAGATGACGATCTGGTCAAATCAGTTCTAAATCCCTCGCCATTTCCATCTTGGCGATTTCGCAGGGGTGGACAGCTGGAAACATGGCTTGGTACAGTCAAGGCTGATATGGAGTGTCTGGGGCTACAAACCGTCTACGGACTCCTTCTGTGGAACAAGAATTGGATAACCCTGTCGCAAAACCTTGGATCAGATCGCCCCGCCTGGGCAGCGATGATTCGAGATGTTCATGAAGCCGGCTCATCCTCCCGTAGGAGATAGCCGAAGTAAAGTAAGTAAGTAAGATGCATCTGCACTGTCATTTAGAACGATTTTGAGCCATATCACCAATTGTTTCTAACTATTGGTTTTTACCGTCCCGAGGACCCCAACCAGTCACGAAGTCTACACCTTCCTACGTGGATAGCTTAAACTAACTGTTGTGGATTTCATTGACTGATGGAGCCATGTTTTGGTTTGACCGCCGCCAGCTCTTTTCCAGCCTGACCCTATATCAGCTAACATCGCCCATTGTCGAGGAAGGCGATGACTAGGCATAGGTAACACATGTCCTAACCATCTCAGTTAATGTTGCTTCACAGCCTCGTCTATTGATTTCCCCTCCTTACCTAGTAATCGACGCCTGACCTTAATATTACTCACCTTATTATACCACTTCACATGGGAGATAGAACGCAGGCACCTATGATCAAAGACAAATCCTATCCCATTGATGTATTAATGGAAGGTGGGTATTGTGGTCGAGTTTAATTGAATTCCATCACAGAAGAAATTAGTTTGATTAAAACGCACAGCGATACAGTATTATTCACCGACAAATAGTTCAGAGGAAAACTTTCCAATTATAATACATGCACTAACATATAACACACACAATGGGGTGGGAGAGAGTTATAGTTCTGAAAAGTCATATAGGTAGGCAGGCTGAGGGAGAAGATGACCACTGAATTTTTCTTCGTCAAATCTACACCTAACACGTGTGCAATAGAAATAAAGCAACGCCGATACCAGAGATGTGGAAAATATTACCTACTAATAAAATCAAAGGACAGCTGTTTCATCCCAATTTGGGAATCATCAGCAGTACGCACCCACCTCATTGAGGTTCAAGCCTGGGACCTTCCCGTTACAAGGCAAGGTGGCTCGTATACTATTCAGTCACCGGGACCTGATTCAATGGCCCATGAATTCTAACTTCTACCAATTCTTGACTTAGCGCGACTACCAACTAATGTAATCGGTGAGAAATCCATCCTCACATTTGACTGGATGGACCTCACTGGTCACGACTTCTCACTAGAACTTCAGGAGACTCCGTCCTGTAGCCAGCCAGTCACTAGCGAGCATCAGATTAATTTTAAAGAGTTGGTTTGTAAGGATTAGATTTGTTTTTACGAGTTTGACCACTGGGGTTCGAACCCCCCCCCCTTGAAAATACATTTCTAACAACAGAGATGGTTCAAGTACGTCAAACCCTTGAGTGAATGACCGAACTTTATTTTTTCATAATTCTGTAACTACCCTACACAACTGCTCCTCGGTGACAACGAAGATAGCGATAGTTACTGATATAAGTACAAAACTTCGGCACTGTAGCAGAGTATAACTCTATTATAGACAAGATTTTTGTTTTGATAAATCACAGTGTTGTACAATAGTATTAAATGATGACGTATCGAGCACAAATTATTGCTCATAATCATATCATATCACTGCTCATTATTTTGAGCAATAATTTATGCTCAAAACGTCATCATTCAATATTACTGTACAACACTGTGATTTATCAAAACAAAAATCTTATCTATAGTGGAGTTGCACTTATGGTAACACACAAATATACCCTTCCAATATTTACCAATTACAAATACTGTCTCAGAGCTAGAATAAAACAAGCTCAACTGATGCTCAATCCATTAACCTCTTATTATAAATAGTCAAATACCTCACTACAGGTAGACAAGTTTAAAGCTTCTATATGTCAAATGATTCACATGTCTGCATTTAGAATTTCCATCAAAAACAACAGATTAATTAAATGAAGTGTAGTGTAGATTTTCACAATCCAGCAGATGATAAAGGATGTGTACGTGTGTCACCACAAAATGATTTCCAACCATGTCATTAAATCTCAAAACTTTGATTTTCACAATGCTGCCCGAACAAATCTACACCTCACTATGTCCTCTGCACTAGCATAAAACTCATATGTTGAACCGATAGAAAATACAGTAAACAGATAGTCTGCATATAATACTACACCCATTGTGGCTACTGAAAAACTCTCACAATGAATGACATTGTCTCTAATAATCCCATTAACAGAATCTTACAGTAAAATTTTATAAATTCCCTACATTTATCATGTGAACCGAACACGACAGTCTAATAAACAGCTAAATATAATGTGAAAGTGAATAGCTTTCTATTTAATAACGAATTATAAAGTAGCAATAACAATAACAACAACAATAAACTTTAATCGCATACCTAAATCAGTTATGCTTGAGTTAATACATGCTCTGAAACGTTGGATACGACCTTGATCTAATAATTTCTGTTGAGCAACCGGGAAGTCATCAGGACTCGCCCTTAATCGTACGCCCATTCCAGGTGCATGTTTTGGAAACTTTTCAAAAGGGAACACGGTAGGGTTTTTAACTTCGACAGACTCAACCTAAAAATAAACAATCCAAAAACGTGCCAAATAATTACACATAAGATGAATGGAGGAAAAAAATGAAAGCTAGTAAGTTTTGATTAAATAGACGCAAAAAAGGAAAATACTTTCATCTTTATCTCACAAAATCATATCCCAAAGCATCAACTTATCTACCAATATGAACATATATTATGTGAATTTTAAGGCATGTATATAAGATGTCAGTCTGTAATATATTTGTGACATACACTTTTACTGTCAACGAGCATACAGTGCACCTTACACTTTCAAGCTTTTGTCTAAACGTGTACATACATAAACAGGCTTAAAGATCATTTTGCACTCTTGCGTTGTGCTTCTGACACGCACATTCTCCAAGTTCGTAATTCAGGTATACTAGTTAGATAAGTCCTAAATCCTTTTCCGTGAATAGCCCTCACTTTTTATTTTATTCACATATATATTGCTCATCAGAGCATATCACTACTTAACGGAGTTTTCTTGATCTATGTTTTGCTGTCAGTACTTACAAGTTAAGTAAAGTACTGATTTGTTGGGTAATTAGGCAAACTACATTTAGTAAAGGCTGATATGGTGTAGCTGACGGAAAGCACTACTAGTACCTTAGAAGTATACCAAGTTCTGGAGCAGAAACATGGTCTCAGTCGCTGACTACTGTAGAAAGGAAACATTGTATGCAAACAAAGTTCATTTGACTGAATTCAATGCCAACAACTCAAATGTTAACCTAGGATTCTATTTCCTGTGGTAATGAAAGTAACAGTGGTAGAATGCTTGTCAACCATGAAAGCGTGGTCCGGGGTTCGATTCCCACCTGCAGCACATCTTTACCTCCTCTAACGGATTGTAAGCCTAGAAATGAGAGAATGTTTGGTGTAAGATTAGTGCACCTACTCCGTTAATAGTATCAATGCTGCTGAAATTTCAAAGCCTAAGCTTGAAGTGAAGAAATAAAATAAAACAGTAACGTGTCTGCACCTTCACTACCACATGAAGATGGAAAACGCTAAATATGACAGCGATAAAACTAGAACAAACAAAGAGGGAGATAGACACATGTACCCACGCGATTTAAGACTCCATAAACACAAGGGAAATAATTCTCACACTAGTATATTAGGTACAGTATTTTCGGTCCTTAGTTACAAAAAAGTCCTAAATTATAATAAAAATTAATATTAAATGAATGCAGTAATCTTTATATGGTTGTGTTCTGTAAGAACGAACCAATAACTAGCAACACTAACTGACTGGTTTCAACGTAGAACTTTGCACATATGTGCAGCAGTTGGAGTTGTCACACTTCATTTACCATAAAAACAAAAAGAAGAAAGTAAAAAGAAATGCTAGATGCAGATGAAAAACAGAAATACGAAGCAAAAAGAATAGTGATACGGAAGAATAATGTGTCCCAAGGAGTGGATGGATCTGCGCTAGCCATTCAGAACGATTTTGAGCCATATCACCGATTATCTACAGCCTTGATTGGTTTTTGTCGTCCCGAGAACCCCAACCAGTCAGGAAGTCTACCCCTTTCCACGTGGCTTGAACTAACTGTTGTGGACTCCCTTGACTGATGGAGCTATGTTCTGGTTTGATTACCAGTGGCTCTTCTCCAACCTGACCCATCCTATGTCAGCTAACACTGCCAGTCAAGGGAAGCAATTGCTACGCGTGCGTAACACATGTCCTATAAGTCAAAGTCGGTGTAACTCCACAATCTCGTCTATTGATTTTCCCTCCCTACCTAGCAGTCGACCAAGTTCTAACCCCAGTATTGCTCATCCTATTATACCAATTCACACGGGAGATAGAACACAGGCACCTATGGTCAAGGACAGCTAGCCAGCCCTTTCATGTCTTCCACTCTCAATGGCCAGGTCTCACAGCCACAAAGGAGGACAGATCGGACTGCTGAGCAGTTCACACGCCCTTTGCTAGAAATTCAACCGGATATCACGTCTACTAAGTCAGAGACGGAGTAAACTGGCATATGCGAACCGAGCCTAACGTGTTTGAGCTGAGACTTCGTCAGTGATCAACCCGTCGGGGCTGATGCAACTTCCCAAATGAGTAAAGTGATCAACACACTCTACCACTTCACTTCCTATTTCTAATGTGGGAGTCAATGCAGTCCAGTCATGTAGCATCACCTTACATCTGGCGGGAGAGAATAGCACTGCAAACATTCGTAGATTGCAGCTCAAGGTGTTTAGAAGACTCTGCATTTTGTCAGCCTCTTCACCTAGGACAGAGGACTATATCGTCTGCATATTCCAAGTCAATGAGATTGTTCCCTGGTAACAAGTCTATCCCTGAGTCACTGAATTCAGTTACGGTTAAGATTCTCTATGTCTCTGAAACACGGCCAATACGCGTTGAAGACATGAAAAGGTTGACTGCTTTCGATCATAGATGTCTGCGATCTCTGTCTCACGTTAGGTGGTTTCACAAGGTAAGTAATGTTGACGTTAGGCGTAGAGTGTTGGGCAAAGAGGGAAAATCAATCGACGAGGCTATAAAGTTACATAGACTAAGATGGCTAGGTCACGTGCTGCGCATGCCTAACCACCGCCTCCCCCGACGGGCATTGCTAGCTGATATAGGTTCAGGTTGGAAAAGAGCCAGTGGTGGCCAAACAAAAACATGGCATCAATCCATGAAATCCTTGACAGTTAAACTGAGTCAGGTAGGGAGATGCAGACTCCCGGGTTGGGGCCCTCGGGACTCTAGGAATCAATGGCTGGAGACAATAGGTGACATGGCTCAAAACCGTTGTCAATGGCGCAGATGCATTCAGTCTCTGTAATCTTTCATATTCCTTTCTACCATTACCCATTCTGTTTCACTCTTATACTTGTCAGACTGTATTGATTCTCTTCACTCACCTTCTTGTCTACCCCTGTGTGCTATTTGGAAGGTGGCAACTCGAACTGCTGCACTTCGGTGCCAAGTTCTATGTTGAATCCAGACAGACAGACAGACGGTTAATCCCATCAGTACATCTACGATGAAACTAAGTTGAAATGGGGAGAGTGGGCTGGTATCCCTGACGGATATCACTAGTTTTCACAACTTCAGAAGACAACTCCCCGTACGCTCTCACCTGGCTGGTTGCATGATTTCTAGTATAGTGGGTGCCTTAATAAGTGCGACGTATTTCCCTTCACAGCCAAACATCGCCAGAGCGCCTCTCAGTCGACAGAATCGAACGCCACTTTCACGTCAAGAAATATGGCGATTGTTGGTCACCTGTAAGTATGCCCATGTTCCAGAATCTGTCAAAGGGTAAAGATATGATCAATACACCCTCTTCCTGGTCTAAAGCCTGCCTGGTTCCCTCGTGTTTGTTCCTTCCGACAACCGTTAAGTCTACGCATTATTATTGAGTCTAGAAATTTAGATACCATATTAGTCAAGCTAATCCCCACTGATTATCACAGGAAGACTTGAAACACTGATTTTATTGAGGTTCTCTGACAGTCCCATATTTGATGTTACCCCGATTGCGCTCAAGAATGGACCAATCAATACCAAAATGTTCTTTGACCGATTAAGTGAATAAAAACAACGGCAATTTATCAAGAAGCTTTAGAGTCGTCATTTCTTTCAAGAGAAAAAACGTCAAAAAAGGAGCCTGGATATAGACACAGAGTGTAGTTAATTTATGCATGACTAATTTCAGATGGACCGTTATATAATATCAGATAGTCATCAAACTTCGAAAAGATAAGTTTGAATATGACGAAAAAGAGGTGTTAAAATTTTATAGTCAACACATTATATGGAAACATAATGATAAAATCATCATGTGCAAGTGCATATATTATAAAAATTTTACAAACTTGACTTGTTTTAGTAATTATTACCAGAGTTTAAAAACAACAAATCGACTTTAAACATACGTTCTTGAGGCTGTCATCCCTCTTCTCAGCGATCGCAGACTCCCTCCTATGCAATTCCAAAACTTTTTCTGCTGTTTTCTGTACAACTAAGAGGAAGTAACTAACAAAATTATATTACCCTTAGGGGATATAATGCTTTGATATTCACGATCATCCGCGTCCCATACATCCTGACTGTTGATTTGGAACAGAGCGAATCCTTTGGACCCTTTCCCAGACATCACAATTAACAATCAACGCAAATTCGGACGGGAAACTATCGGAACGATTGTCAACGATGGCATCTCATAATGTAGCGCACACTATGAAATACGCACAAATTTAGGATTCAGCATCCTATGTCCAATTTATTATCAGGTCCAGATACACTTTCTGATTGGGGATATGAGGCATAAAGCCTATGACAGATTTTGTGTTTACTCAGGTTTCAAGACTCTTTTTGATAAAACAGTTTGAGGTATGGACAACACTTGGGAGTTTTTTCCATGTTAACTCAATTGAATGACATTTGTCCCGCAGCGATATGTTCATCCTTGACTTGCATGCTTACCAGCTGTTTTAGTTGTTTTGTCGTGGGAAGGGAGGGAAGTTTAATCATGAGCCGAGCATATACCAAAGATGTGACTGTACGCTAATGATAATTAGCTGCACTTGTCTTGTTAAATAACTCTTGTATGTCTATAGAGCTATGGTATAGCTAACCCTTGACTATAAGGGGAATAACACCTTAGATCGTGTGATTAAAACGCTTTCTAAAAATTCCATGAGAGCATACACGTTAGCAAGGATGACTATCGTGGTGATATCCCCATCCCTCATACATAAATTTCGTGTGTTTGGGGTTGTCAGTCACTTCCCCCGTAGTGACGTTGTGAGGACTTGACGGTTTCCCATCGGTAAAAAAACTCTTCCGAGTGGCTTGATGGATTGCCCACTGGTCGTCAAACTATGCTAATAGAGTGTCTGTACATCGGTTCGTTTGACTTCAAACTGAAGTATGCGGTGAAGATGTCACCCAGTAGGGTGATGAAAGCTTCGCATCCACCCGAGCTACAAATGTTCTCTATCATATCTACAGCTGAATCATGTATAGCGGTGCACTCAAGTGTCGCAAGTATGGTGTGTACTGACTGTGGCAGTTTGGATAAGAAAAGTTCTCTGAAAAGTCCTTCATCAAGCTGAAGTTGCCCGATAATTTCGGTCATCCCCAATAGCATCTTCACGACTGAATGATCCCCTAAGTCGGAAAAATCGTAGAGCGAAATCGTTGCTTAGCTGGTTAGTGATCGTGCACAAACGCGACATGACAAAGTACCAAAATGGCGTGGATGCTTGACCAGAAGCCTTCAGCTAAACAAGTCGACTTAACCAGTGCGGGTCAGCATCCAATGTTCAGTGATGACTGCTGTGGTCGGTTATTTTGGGGAATTATTTACCGCTACAACCATAACTATCAGCAGGAAACGGAACGAAGTTTGGATTGTCGCCCAACCTCGATGGTGACTTCAGTAAGTGGTTTACAATTTAACATTTATAAGAACCCGTTCTGACTGCTTGTACAATAATTGAACAATTTAAGCCTTTGAAAAAGTACAAATTTATGATACTTCAGGATTCTTACTTATAATATTACTGATCGTGCGTGTGAAAGGGGCATGCATTTCTTCTAAACTTACCCGTTTATACGAAATATAAATTATTATTCTATTTTTAGTGAATAATAAAACTGTGGACTCAAGGCAGTTAGCTGCAAAATTTCGTTGAATAATTCACACATGTCCGCGGAGTTATTGTACAGCCACCTTTGTCAATGAGGAGAGGAATACTGCGATTTTCGCGATTCACTCGCTTCTTCAGGATTTCTGTCAGAGTATGCAATCTAGCAGATTTGAATAGTGCGGTGAGTTCTTCATTCCCAATACTCTAATAGCGATCTTGTGAGATGGACAAGAACCGTAGCATTAATATCACTGTCAACGCAGCTGAAGATTGAACGACCAATTCATGGTTGTTTGCTCAAACCCAACTCTATATTTTGGCGGGAGTCATCGATACTGCAGTCATCGTTCCATCGTTCGCTCTTCGTTGGAAGACAGAGGAAAACTATCAGAAGTATTATTGTTATTTATTGTTATGGTATTTATTCCTAAACTTTGTGTACAATGACCTAATGGTTGGCTCTGTATTGGTGCAAAAGTAAAGGGTCATTGAGTCACCAATTTGTGATCTGGTTTCTTGCGTTGGTTGTTGCTCATAGTCCCTGAAAGTCTTCCAAGGACAGTGTGAAATCCAATGTAGTTAGACCTGTACATTGGCTCTCCCTGCTAAATACAATTAACAAAAATTATACGTAACCATAGACTCACCGACTTGGATCTTTTACGCATGCAAATCCAATAATATTTTCAGTTTTGCATATAAGTTAGCGTTCAACAGTCAGAAAGTGGCAAACATTTAGTTATAGTTATTAATAGTCAACAAGATTATATCCAGAGAATCAATCAACAAAATCCCTACAAACTGATACTTGAAATGTCACAAAATCGGTGTTCCAATGTAAACGAATCACAATAAATACTGCAACTTCCTGGAAAGAAGCAACAGAGAAATGACAGTTCCATGTATCTGGGAAAATGTAATGTACAATTCGAAAAGCATGTTGAGGCCCTTTTCACCCGAGATGTAAGTGATATCAAAGTTCGATAGTGTCATAGACGTCTTCGTGTGTATCACCCGAACACATGCATCATGAAATTTGCGAGGATTATTTAGTACGGTGGTACGTTCGAAATTGGTGACATTTTTGCACGTGTTATCTCTGAAATTTATTTACTGCTTATTCTCTTATAATTTTTGAAATTATGGTCCAAATCTCTAAAAAACGTGTTCGTAGAAACACAGTTGTTTTAGATAGTGGCTCAAATTCCGTTATAACTGCATTACCGCCTGGTAATACAGTATCAACTACTAGCTCTCAAAATGGTTTGAGTGCAGATCCCACTCCTGTGATACAGGTGAAAGATTTTCTGTTAGAGAACTCTGAGTTCTGTAAACTAAACCTCTTTTTGAAAGATATGCAGAGGCAAGTAAGTGAAATTCAGAAAAAATTATATCATTTTGATGGTATGTCACTGCCAATCTCAAATACCACGGAGAGCCGTTCTGATATTGGCCAGGTTAAGTCTTTACTGAATGTAACTCAAAACAAGCTTTCGGATTTAGACCCAATAGTCTGTCTGCTAAAACAACATCCTAAAATATCTCAAGACAACCGAAATAAAGCTGAAAATCTGATTGACTGCTTGGCTACGGAGGTGATGAAGCGTCGGTGGCACAGTGGTTAGAACTCTCGCCGACCATGCACATGGTCCGGGGTTCGGGCCCACGCCGACGCACACCTGATATCTATGGTCGGCCTGCGAATTTCGGGCTACCGATATCCATGCTGAAAATTCCACACTTGTACCAAAAATACGGTGTGGAATCAAGCTGTAATCAAAAATTAAAAAAAATAAAATAACCTCTTCTCACCAAGCCATAGTATACAACGTCCCAAATTCTCTGCGCCTGAAGATTGTAAGACACAAAACTCTGATTTGTTGCGGCATGCCTACTGCTCCATGTGAATGCAAAAGACTTCGTGAAAACTCTGTCAATGTAGTTGAAGATTGAACGATCAATTCATGGTTGTATCCTCAAACCCAACCTCCCTAATTTTCACGGAGGCGTCAATCAGCCAGTCATCGTCTCATCGGTCGCTCTTCAGAAAGAAGTCAGGACAAAACCGTCAGAAGTAATACCGTGATCCATTATTGTAATATTTGTTCATAGACCTTAGTTGTAAAGTTGGCTATGTTTTAGTGTTAGAATAAATGATTCTCGAGTCACCAAACTGGGTTCTGGTTTTCGCGTCCGTTCGTACTGAGCGTTTCTAAGAAGCTTCGAGGAACAGCGTGAGTCCAAGCGTAGCAAGAGCTGGGCATTAACGGTTTACGAGACGTGGCTGACAGATTCAAACAGTGAAGTCAGATTTTGACGGTAGAAAGAGTTTATGACGGATTAATACAGTTGATGAAAGTTTGGATAGTCACCGTTCATCTTTCCTGGTGCCGGTCAAATCCTCTTTGAACAAGCAATATCTGGAACTGTTTTGGAATTGGGTCAAGTTCAACAATGCCTGGGTCAAAAAAGGGACAGAGTGTCTTGGATACAAACGGGAAAGTAATTCATGGTGACTTGTCTGTTACTTGTGACGATGTGTCTGATGTTAAGCATGACATGGTTGATGTTACTGTTTCGCCGTTCAGGGATAATAGGAACATCAAACTCCCTAAACTTGAACCACGTTGTTTTGATGGAAACCCAGCTGATTATTTACAATTTGTAAAGGAGTTTGAGATCACGTTGAGTGGTTTTTTATTAACTGAAGAAATGAAGTTAAGGAATTTGATGAGGTATTGCACTGGAGATGCTTCAAGAGCTATACAGTGCTGTAAGCTCATGCCCCCTAATGAGGGATACGCTGAGGCTATGAGCATATTACGTCAAAGGTTTGGAAGACATTCGATGATTGCAGGGAAATTATTCGAGGCTGTTAAGGGTAATGGTAGTCAACTACAAGATGACTCCCAGGCACTCACTGAGTTTTTGGATAATCTGTTGATATACAAGAATGCATTGATTTCGATGAATTGCATGAGTGACCTCAACTCCAGTTTTATACTAGAAGTAATAGCGAGAAGCCTACCTAATCGACTGCAAAGGAAGTGGGTGAAGATAAGCTCCTGTATAGAGGATGAAGGTATCGAGCCAAAGTTCGATGATATTCTGAAACTGGTAAAAGATAGCGTCAATCAATCTATGATTAAGTTCGCCAGTATATTGAATCTCTCCCCTAGAATAGAGCAGTCTGAGGGTTAAACGCACTCATTGATCACGAGTAGGCCTCAGATAGGTGGATATCGAGAAGGCTCCATGATGTCTAGTGATGCATATAGACCTAGTGAGTGTAACAGGATACGTAGTACATCCTCAACAGATAAGTTACAAGATGCAAGACAAGCACGGTTGTTTTACACGTTTGCAAGAGGTGCATACAGAAGTGAACTGTGAATCAGTGAGCAAGTTCAGTGATAAGCTAAATGTAAACTCCAGGCCTGACTCCGAATTGTGTGACGATAACGGTGCGGTGAAGAAGTCTGTAGTTGCAACTGGTAAGCCATTGTTGAATAGAGTGTCAGAGAATAGAGTAGCTGCTTCAGAGTCCAGTTCTGACTCCACAAGTTTACAAATTATTACTATTCGGAGTGAAGATATAGAGCCTTTAAGGATTTGTGAGGAGGAACCAAAATT